CCCCCCCACAACCAGGGTCAACGGCAGACCCCCCGACAACCAGGGTCCAGGGAGCCCCCACTGACCACCAGGGAGCAACATGGACACTTCCCATCGGATTCCAGCTGCAGAATCCCCTCAGGCTCCAGAAAACGGCAGGGGTGTGATGTCAAGGGGCCTGGACTGCAGTGCAGGATCACAGGCCTGCCCTCTTGAAGATTAACCAGGGTAAGGTAAGGTGACAACATTTTTAACATAAAATCCGGGGACATTTTTAAATGTCCCTGAGAACATAAAATAAAACATCTTTTTTTTTTAAAATACTCACCTGATCACTGTGTGCAGCTTCTGAGAAGATACGCTATTAGCGAAGCGGGCGCTATGCAAAATGCGCAGCTAGCTTCCTCGCTACGCTAAAGGCCGTGACACACTGCACGCGAAGCAGCAGCGCGCTGCATTTGCGAGCAGTGTGTCATGTAATTTTTTCCTCGGCGGCTTAGCTTGCGAGTGCTCGCATAGCTGAGCGTGCTGAGATGAAAAATTTCATCTTCAGCCAAACGGCTCACGCGTATAAACCAGCACGTCGGCATGCGACAGCTGGCTGGTTGTTACGGACGAGCCGATTGGCTGAAGGTGCAGTCAATCATCTGATTGGCGTGCAGTGTGTCACGGCCTTAATAGCGTATCTTCTCAGAAGCCGCAAGCTTCTGACAGCGTGGGAGACGGGAGGCTGCGCTTGTTGGTGGATCCAGGGATCGGGTAAGTATTAAAAAAAAAAATGTTTTATTTTATGTTCCCGGGGACATCATTTGTTAGGGGACGGTCTCCTTAATCCGGGGACAGTCCCCAGAAATCGGGCATGAATGTAGAGCTGCAACATCTAATCGACTAAGTCGATTATAATCGATGATTGAAAAAGTTGTTGTCCAAGTTTTTCAATCATTATCAGCTTTCGATTAGTTGGCCCTGTTCACGGCTCCACACATGCCCCACCTCCTCATGCTTGCCGCTGCTAGACCAGCCCGCCTGCATTCACCACCCACACGCCGCACCTCCTCCCCGCCTCACGCTTGCAGCTGCTAGACCCGCTCTCCTGCATCCATTCTTCACACGCCGCACCTCCTCATGCTCACCGCTCGCCCACATCCACGATCGGCATAGAGACATATCGGCCTAAAATGGCACTTTTGGCTAAATGCAGAAACTGCTCTGTGTCCCAGCGGGGTTGAGAGAAAGTGTGACAGCCGGCCGTGCGCTGTGGGAGGAGAGCGCTTAAATCTTGCACCAGGGCCTTTTGTTCCTTAGGTCCGCCACTGGGCATGCACAAGGAGAGAGCAGCAGGGACTGGTCTTTATTACAGGAAGCTCATGCAGATTACAGTGTTTTTTGGTCCCATAGACTTCAATGGGAAAAGCCTGGAAATGCGCGTTTCAGGCTTTATTGCATGTTTGTAGCACAAACTTTCCCATTGAAGTCTATGGAGCTAAAAAGTAGCTCATGTACTTGCGACATAATACTCAGGCGTGAACAGGGGCCATAGAAATGAATTGGTTTCCTTGTCTTGAGTGTTTTGTCGCGCCTGCGTTTGAGTGACAACACTTACGTGTAAATGAGGACTAAGGTTGGCCATATACTGCTCCTATTTTTCTTGTTCAACCCGCCGGCTGAACAAAAAAAAAAAAATAGAGCAGATTCCTCCAACACTACGAGTGTGTCGATTTTGAGGGATCTCCCTGCTTCCTTGGTCAGCTGATCGAGGGATGATAGCTGGAAGGGTGTTGCCAGCGGCACCAACTGTACACAATTCCCACAGTGTATGGCCACCTTAAATCTAAAGCTGGGTACACAATGTTAGATTTTTATTTTCATATAAAAATTATTTTTTTTTTTTGACGTACAGCTTTCAGTCTGAACTGAAAATAAAAAATCTAACAGATTCCTCCAACACTAAACAGAGTGGGTGGAGGAAACTGTCATAGTATCCAAACAGTGGCCACATCTAATTGGACGCAGGCGTTGTTTGGCTTACAATTTTTCGCCTGGTGTGTGTGTGTGTGTGTGTGTGTGTGTGTGTGTGTGTGTGTGTGTCCCTCTAAAAAAAAAACATCCCACAAACTTTTTTTAGTTGAAGGGCATGGGGCAGCAACTGACAGAAGGGGTCACCTAGTCAGCAAATTATGCCTAGTTCATCAAAAACAATCCAAAATTCCCTCGATGTGTAGCCAGCTTTGGCCTTGACCTATGTCCTCCCCCCACATTATTTGCATTATTTGTTGCTTGTGGAATAGCCAGCATTGAGATGGGGGGGGGCAGGGGAGACCAGTCAAGCTTTCAACATTGAAGTTGATATTTGCTTAATAGAGTGTTAGAACTATGAGGTGAGTGGAAATCACTCGTCTCATAGTTCTCCTCCTTTTAATATTGTTCATGTCATATATTTTAATCCTCTGCATACCAGCTAAAATGTTATGCGAGGCTTTCAATGGAAGTGACTGCATTGCCTGCCAAAATAAAAGGGGTGGGTTATGGGCAGGGCTTGAAAATTTTTTAGGGTGTCTCACCAGTCAGTCAAAAATGTCACCAGTCAGCATGACCGGACTATAGCCTTGCAATTTATGTTAACATTTTTTAGCGACACAGAGCTTTCTTTTGGTGGTATACAATCACCACTGGGGGATTTTATTTTTTTACTATATAATGAAAAAAGTACCGTAAATTTCGAAAGAAGAAAAATGTTTTTTCTCTACGTTATGTAATTTTTTTTTTTTTCCATTCTTACCCATATTGTTGGTAAAATATAAAAGACAGGGTCACGTCGGCTAAATAGACACCAAACATGTCAAGCCTTAAAATTGCGTGCGCCCGCAAAATCGCAAAGGATGACCACACTGAAAATTGGCCGTAGGTGATGCTTTAAACGCTTTTATTGCTCATCAGGTTAGTGTTATCAGTGATTAATGGCTCTAAAATTATTGTTCTCACTCTGACGTTCGCGGAGATATGTAACATGTGCGGCACAATAGGCGCAATCGTTGTTTTCGCACCTGATGCATGTTTGTGTGTGTGTGTATGTGGGGGGCGGGGGAATTAAACAAAAATTTATTGTGGGTTTTCTTCTCTTTTTTTTTTTTTACACTTGGCCCCCCCCCATGTTATAGCAATAAAGTTAAGAATCCCCCTATATGATAGCCAATTTACATGACGGGTCCTCTTTATGGAGACATCAGGGGTCTTCAAGACCCCTAATGTCACCTAGGACCCCCAGAGAAGCTGATGAAGCGGAGATCTGCTTCACCAGCTTCTCCCCAGCTTCTGAAGCTGGAGGGTGACACCAGAATACGGGAGTGATGCAATATTACATACATCACTTCTGCATTCTTGGACTGGAGAGGAGAGCAGAGGGAGATCGTGTACCGATCTCCCTTTGATCTCCTGTCACAGAGCAGCCGTGCCGGTCCCAGCCGCATCGGGCACAGCGGATCTCGGGACCGGCAATGACAGCTGCTGCTAATACAAGCGATCGGGCGTCTCTATAGACGCCCGATCGCTTGAATGTAAAGCCCCCTGCCGGCCGTGTAATTACAATGGCTGGCCGGGAAGCTGCTCGTCCGGCTCCGCCGTCCTCTCGTCACAGATGAGAGGACGAGCGGATTTTTCAAGCCCTGGTTATGGGTCATTGACCGTATTAGTTGCTGCAGTCTTGATAGCGTCATATTACATGCACTGGTTCTGAAAGGAGCCGCTTTGAAAGCAGTGTTCAAAAGGTCATATGAAGATGAAACATGTGAGAATGCAGAATTTTGCAGTTCCTTCTTTTATTGACTGAATCTTCTCTTTTGGGGCAGTGGAAGTCCTGCTCTATTGTACTGGACAATAAAATGATAACCTTTTCATTATTCCACAGAAATTGGGATTGTTGCCAAGTCTTGCATAGATCAAGGCCAGCTCGTTCCAGATGATGTCATCACCCACCTTATTCTACAGGAACTAAACAACATAGGAGAACACAACTGGCTGCTAGATGGTAAGCAGGAATTCTAATACATGTGGTTTTACATGTTTCATATCCCAGAACTGTCTCCACTAGGCAGGCTAACCAAATTAGTGGGGTAGGGGGTTGGTTGGTCTAACAGGTTTATATAAGCAACATAATTTTTACAGTTACCAGAAGAACTAGAGTCTAGATTTACAGTTTGTTAGCGTGCATGCATTTCCCTGAACAATAAGCCACCAGACAAAAAAAAATCCAACTTGGCTTAAAGCTGGACTCTAGGTACAAAAACTTTAATTTGGACATACTCCTCATAGTCCTATAGTCAGAAAGGAAATCAATCCACTTGTGTGCAACAAATGCCTTTGAAAACTCAGTTGTTACCATATAAAATAGTGGTGACATCATCACTGTGCAGAAAGTAGAGCTGTGGGAGGGGTCCAACGAGCTCCACCGACTACAGGCTCACTGCAGGAAACTAAAGGACCAGTCTTCATATACAAGAAGAGAGAACAGCAGTGCCTGGTCTTTATTACAGGAAGCTTATGCACAGTCAAAGTTTCACACTGGATTGCAGCACAGATCTGGAAGATATACACACCAAGATTCAAGTAGGAACACAAATGGCTCTTCCATTGAGACAATATTTGCTTATCTTGGCAGGATTGGGTCAAGATCATAACAAACTGGGTACCTTGGCTGTAGCCGATCTGTAGGTACTATTATATTTTATCTTTTTAATTAGGATTTCCAAGAACTGTCCCTCAAGCCCAGGCTCTCGATAAGGCTCATGAAATAAGCACGGTCATTGATCTGAATGTGCCATTTCAAACCATTAAGGATCGTCTGACAGCCCGGTGGATCCACCCTGGTAGTGGCAGAGTATATAACACTGAATTTAATCCACCTAAAGTCTCGGTAAGATAACTGTGTATAACTATGGGCCTTATGTATCAATGTCTTCTTGCTAAGAACTGGAGTTACTTCCACACAACCACCAATCGGAGTTAAACTTTCAGAGCTGGTCTGATGCTGATGACTGGGTAAGGAGAAGTAACTCGAGTACTTCCAAAGAACACACTGACACATACTGTATGTAATCAATGTCATTCAAAGGATAAAAAGACTGTAAAGCAATAGAGCGTGATTGTGTCTAACAGCCAGCCTTTCCTGGGATATTCTTGAAGCATTCTCAAGAAATGAAATGTGTTGGTTGCCATATTCACTGGAGCACACTTTTACATAAGTACTAATATATTTTCAAGCAGTTTGTTGTATCTAATAATTTGTGTAAAGCTAGCAAAGCTTGCTTGTATCACCCAAGCTAGCACTTTGATATGTACGGAGGAGAAAGGAAATAATCCAGACACCCCTAGTATTGGCATCCTCCTGGGGAAACAATAGCGTTTGGTCAAAGATATGTCAATCTATTCTTCCTTGAAGGTCAATCAGGAGTGCCTTTGCTACCCCTAAGCTAGCCATACACTGCCCTTTCTCTAGTTAAGCCCATGGGCTGAATAAAAGAAAGTCATTTGATTTTCCCCCCATCCGCACTAAACAGCGTGGATGGAGGAATCTCCACTGCCAGCTATTGTATTCAGCAGCTGCTTATTAGATCCCTGTATCTGATAGTATCTATCTAATCTATCTCTTAATATGATTGTCTTTTATTCTTACAAATTTACCTTAACATATAATACCATTTCTGTTTAATGATTTCTAACAGGGAATTGATGATATTACTGGAGAGCCTTTGATTCAGCGTGAGGATGACAAGCCAGAAACTGTTACCAAGAGACTTAAAGGTTATGAGGCCCTTACCAAACCTGTACTGGAATATTATCAGTGAGTGTTTTTCTTATATGAGTTTATAGAAAACAGTTTTTTCTTACAATATTTATTATTGAAGAAAGCATATACATTCCGTGGTTATGCATTACTTGTCACAGGTACTGACACATAAAAACCAAATGGCAAAATGTAATGTCACCATTTTTGGCTCAGTTGGTTCATGTAAGATGGCTGCCAACTTATTTTAGTGGTAATATACCAAGTCATCTTCCATTTAACGTGGGCTATAGTAGACATTGTTTGTCACTGTCTCTTTGGCTGTTTGGAAACTAAAAGTCAGGCGTTTAGATCCAGTTTCACATTGAGTGAGGCCTCATGTGGATGTTTCCTGATGCCTCTGCCAAGTACCATGTACATCAGTTGATAGACTAGGGCCCAGCAGCCTTTGATCTTACAATAATCCCACCATGTGTGCTTCAATGTGCCGAGCACATCAGATCTTCTTCTAAAATAATGTGGTTAAGCGTTGCTTAAAAAGCAGTGTGGTGGTGTTTGCCAAATCTGTCTCCAGTGTTCAGGTCCAAGGGGTTTCCCCAGGTCCTTTTTATTAGGGATGGGGGGTTGGGGACTTGCTTGTCCGAGAGTGATGGGTAGATAGTTCATATTAAGTCTTTTTGTTTGGGAGTTGTTGAGGCATATGTAAACAGTTACCTTTTCATGGGAAAAATAATGTATTACAAATGTACTGGTTATTGACTTCGGCTTTGTATCTGACTTCACTTGTTCAGTGCCTGTCCCAGTTTCTGCATTTGTCTATCAATTTTGTACTACGCTCTTGTTGTTGTTGTGTGGGTTGTGGTTTTTTTGTTTTTTTATTGTTTTTAATAGAGCTTTTATTAAAATGTCATAAGTGACATTTCAATAAGTTCTGCCATGCGGCTGTAAAAAAAATCCCTGTGTAAGCTCCAAGTACCTCTAGTCGCAGTTTACAAGGAAACAGCTCTTTATAGCAGGGATGGGGTAGGGTTGGAAAGGGTTGTCATATGGGCTTTGTCCTTGTAAACTATCACCTTCTTGTCCATACCCAGAAGTATCCAAGTGGCTCAATTGACTGGCAGGATAGCGAAGGATGAGTATGTGGTGGTGTCAATGAAATTGCAGCAAACCTGTTGTTTTGCCCTGCATGGGTAAAGAACAGGTTTACTTTAAGGTCTACAGTAATTCAGTATTTTCAACTGCTGTGTTGGGTTTAATGTTAGAGCATATCTAAACCCAAAAACAAAAATGTAATCTATTGCAGCTTACCAGTCCTTAGATGTGGTGACTGCATTACTTTGTTTTTCTTTTCTATTTTTTTTTTTAAACTTTTATTTTCTATGAATAACATACTTTTTGGGTCTGGGTGGCTATACGCCTCACTTCTCCATAGTATCTGTGGAGGGTTGTCACCCAAGGCTGGATTTCAAACATGTCTGCCTTTTGTTGATTTCCATTACATGGAGGATCGTGAGATTAGTACTTTACAGAAGGAAGATAACATTGCTTTCAGTTTAGCTCACAGGAAGTGATAAGGACACTACATTTCTGGGCAGATCAACAGGTATTTTCTGTACTTGTAAAAAATATTCTTGGCCTGAAAAATAAAATCTTAGATGCAGGCACCGCATCTAAGGACTGGTAAGCTGTGATATATTACTGTATTTTTTTTGTTTTAGTTCTCCTTTAACATCACACTCCTTGTGATCCAAGTGAATTTTGGAAGATGGGGATTTCCTTTAGGCATTATATTTGAATATTTATCTGTTTATATTTCCGATTACTAGAGAGAAATGATTAAAAAGATTAAGATGTAAAACTCTCCTCAAAATCATTTCCCTAGAACAAGTGAGCATAGCCCTACCCGGAGGGCTTGTTGATAATTTTGAACTGTGGATAACAATCTGCAATGCCTTCATGAACACTACCTGAATGACTTTGATCTGTGATCTCTCTAGAAACAAGGGTGTACTGAACACATTTTCTGGGACAGAAACCAACAAGATCTGGCCCCACGTTCATTCATTCCTGCGTACAAAGCTGCCTGAAGAACTCCAGGAGTAACTGATGAAAAGCACAAAGGATGCTGGACTGTAAATAACAATGTGAATGTTTTATTCTCGTCATATCTAGCCTTCACACCAGCGGTTTTATTGCCTTTTATTGTTATCTTTTTAATAACAGATTTATCAATAATATTTTAATAATTGTGCCAGAAGATTATATTTTATGTAATGTCTTTTTGATTTTAAAAAAGAACTGATTTTTTTTTACAAATAATGATAAACTGACAAGAGGATTGTATCCTAAAAAGTGTGTCTGAAGTAACTTGGGTAAACCCTTTCCTGATGGTTTTTATTCTCAATTGCTCGAATCACCATATTTTCAATTATTTTTCCAATGACGTTAGAACTGATGAATGAGAGCCTGTATTTTGTTTTTATTATTTATGCTTTCAACCCTTGAAGTAACTGGGTCATCGATTTCCGTTTTACATCTCTAAAAACATAAGTTGAAATCAGCTAAACTTTGGATTTTGAGAAATATAGGTTGCTGGCCTTATTCTAAAAATGTTTGTTTTTTTTCAAATCATATTTGCCTGGCTGCTTACAGCTTCATGGGTCACTGACCTAGAATAAGTATTAAGCATTTGATAGCTGGAGAACAGTCATAATGTCCTTCCTCTAGACTCGTTCCCAGTCAGGAACTTGGAGAGTATCGAAACCAAAGCAATGGCATTAGGGCCAAGCAACTATCATCAGACAGATCAGAAATTGTAGCCTGCATGTTTAATTCCTCATTGGTTTCTGTTAAAGCAATGCATGAGCAACAGCTGGGAGTCTGGTGATCGACAATTCAAAGCCCCATACTGTCAAATGTTTATTTTATAGGACTGCAGGCAACCAAAGTGTTCTGCATAACTGCAATATCCCTCTTCAGGCAGTTTGCATTGTCAGTGCAGATAGACACCAGTCTTGGTTAAAAGGGGTTGTGGGCCCTTTATTGCTAAACCCTTCTCTGTGATGGCCAGCTAACTTAAAGTGACATTAAACCCAGGAGTTAAGTCTTAAAAAAGTGCTTTTTAACTATTAACAACAATGTACATTATTTGTGTATCACTCAGCTGTAGATCCTCAAATCATCTCTGAATTGGTGCTGACATTGTCCTTTCTTCTGGAGAGTGGCTAGAAAATAAAAAATAGACATCGTCTGTTTTATTTCTGGCACTTTCAAGTGTTGATGAGTAGGGATCTTCATCTACCACATCCTGCTAGCAAACAGAGGCAAGATCCCCATCCCACTGTTGGTTTTAGACCTTGATGGACTAGGTTAACAACAAAAACAGAATGGATCCATAGGAAAATGTTGGAACTGTGGGTAAAATTGGTTACCAGAGAAAAACCTGGACCTGCAGGGGGATCAGGTTCCTGCACTCATGGACCCTAAACTTGGGAGTAAATCTTAAAAATGCATTCAAGTACCTTAACCATTAACCCAAAAGTATCTTATTTGTGTAAATCACTCAGCTGTAGATCTTCACATCTCTGAATTGTTGCTGACACTGTCCTTCCTTCTGGAGGGTGGCTACTTTTGTTCCCCATGGTCCCTGTGTGTGTTGTAAAGTAGCCACTGCTCCAAGCTCGCTCCCATGATGGACTACAACCTCAATACACATTGGTAAACTAAACATGAGATTGTAGTCCATCATGGGAGTGAGCTTGAAGTGGTGACTACTTTACAACACACACAGGAACCATGGGGAACAAAAGTAGCCACCCTCCAGAAGGAAGGACAGTGTCCGCACCAATGCAGAGATGATTTGAGGATCTACAGCCGAGTTATACACAAAGAAGATACATTTGTGTAAATGGTTAAGCGGCTTCAATGTATTTTTAAGATTTACTACTGGACCCCCGCAGGTTGGGGTTTTTCTCTGGTCACTGATTTTCCTCCACAGTACCAACATTTTCTTAGGTATCCATCCTGTTTTTTCGTTGTTGGAACCTAGTCCATTAAGGTCTAAAAACAAAAGTGGGATGGGGTCTGACCTCTGTTTGCTAGCAGGATGTGGGAGGTGAAGATCCCTACATATTGATACTTAAAAGTGCCACAAATATAGCAAAAGATTTCTATTTCCACAATAAGCTCATAATATAAATTAGCTTGAAAACATGTGCTTTGGCACCAACTAATATTCACAACAGTGATTAATGTTGTAAAGTAACTGAAAATATAAGTGATTTTTTATGAGCTTTCAGCTATTTTGAAATGCACTACCTAACAAACTGCCTTTTCTTTTTTTATTACCTAAACGTGAAAGCTAACCCTACTCTACACAGCATTTTTGCAACTTTTGACCATGGGGAGTAATGTTTTGTCAATGACTTGTCAATGTATGCAGTCCTCTAATTACCGACCAATCATCCTTTCTTTGTGCTAAAGGTAAATGGGCTGTTCACTTTGCAGTAGTCTTCGCTTCGCTTAGTGAATGTGGTTAAAATTCAATTTGAAAAGAGTATCAAATCGCATGCAAGGGGGGGACATTTTATTTTTTATTTTTACTTGCACGTGATTGGATGATGAATGAATGAAGTCTGCAGAACTTTACCTCATTCACTAAGCTAAGGGAAAATACCCTTGCAATGTGAACAGTCTATTTGGCTTCAGTAAATCAACCCCTCTGTCTGTCAAATTTCAACTTTTCTTTACTGAATGAGAAAGTCGACATAATCCAATCAAGTATATTTTATGTGCAATTTTTTGTTTGATTATTGTAAACATTTACTGTACATTCTAATGTCTCAGTATCTCTATAGCTGGAGGAATGCATCACACGGTTGTTGGACCTGTGGTTATAAGCTAAATTCTTGAACAATTCTTTCTTTTGAATGTACTTTTCATAAACATACACTATATTCCCAAAAGTATTGGGACGCCTGTCGTAACACGCACATGAACTTTAATGGCATCCCAGTCTTAGTCCGTAAGGTTCAATAATGAGTTGGCCCACACTTTGCAGCTATAACGGCTTCAACTCTTCCGGGAAGGCCATCCACAAGATTGTGCCACTGTTGTGCCAATCTGAAGGCCACACAAAGTTTGGAGGTCTGTAGCTATTGACTCTGCAGACAGTTGGAGACTTCTGCGCACTGTGCACTTCAGCATACGCTGACCCCGCTCTGTCATTTTACGTGGCCTACCACTTTGTGGCTGAGTTGCTGTTGTTCCCAGTTGCTTCCACTTTGTTATAATACCACTAACAGTTGACCGTGGAATCTTTAGTAGCGAGGACATTTCACGAACACCTGAATCCAATGATTTGGAGGGGTGTCCCAATACTTTTGACAATATAGTGTACTGTACATGCCTTACATAAACATACATGCCTTGATTGCCCATCTGCCCATGTTTATGGCTATGCTCAGCTAGATGCTTCTAGAAGTGGTTTATCTTAGGGACTGGTGGCCATTCTGGATATTTTCAGCCAATCAATAAGCACCCCCAACCCCCCCCCCCCCGGCGAACACCCCCCCCCTTTTTTTTTTTTAATCCTGTAAGTTCACATGAAATGAGGAAGAAATGTATATGTTATGTTTAGCCATACATATAATATTTTTGCACAAGCCATTACATTATTATAGCTGCTAATACTGTGCAAAGGTTACCTTAAAGTAAACCTATTACAAATCTTGCCAGTTCAAACAGCATATGATAAGTGCAGTGTCAAAAAAGATAGATAGATATTTAAAAAAAATAATAATGAATATTCAAATCTGGGGGATGGAAAAAAAAATCTTAAAACAGAATTCCAAGAATTGTCTATTTTGGACACTTGCATTGCTCTAGCTTGACTCAGTGTAAGTATCCAGGGGGCTATTGGGAATGTTGAAATCACTGTAATAGGTCCATTCTACATAAATTGTAAGCCGTGATCCTCCAGGGTGCGGCTCCTGCAGATTGCCCTCTGCACACAGGGAGTTGCTCGCTCAGCACTGCCGCCATTTGGAGAATACAAGGCAATCTCTGAATGGATGAAGTGGAGAAGAGGGTTATTCATGCTTTGCCTTCTCTGTTAGGCTATGGTGGTGGTAGTAGTAGTCCATTTTATGGCTTGTTATATTGTATATATGTGATCATGCTGCATATACTTTGTCACAGTTTGGACTGCAACAGAGAAAATACTATATATTGCCTAGTTTTGATTTAGTAAGGTACAAAGGTTTCTTTCTTATATTGGTAGAGAATAGTATAGAATGCTTTTACCATCCTCGGTGTATTGCCCATTACCTCACACCAGTCATCAGCACAGGTCACATAACTACCTCAATTCTACATTATGAATATTTAGGAACCAGAAAGTTACTTGAATACAACTCCTTCCACTGGATTTCTGGCGGTCATGTCAAACAGCAGTTTATCATGCACTAATCATGAAATAAGATTCATTACCAAAGAAGCTCCTGTACTTCTTTGGGCGTAGGGCGTTTTGTAGCGCGTTCATACGGCCTGTAATACGCCCAGGTGTGAACCATACCCATAGGAAATAATGGGATTTCGGTGTTTGAGCGTTTTGCAGAGCGTTTGAACGCGCTACAAAACGCCCAGGTGTGAACCGGGCCTTAGGAGAACTATGGGGAAAAGCCCTAACCCCATAGTTCTCCTTTTAAGTATTTCCTATGATCTGTGGCTCCAACTAGTGGCCATAATACGCTATTTTCTTGATTTACTTTATTAAGATTGAATTAGATTCGACCTGGCAAAAAAATATACTCAACATTAATTTTTCTCCCATTTACTCAAAACGAATGTAAATGCAGTTTTACAGGACAAATGGCTCTGTGAATTTTATCTTTTAATAAATATAGCCCTTAATCTATGCTGTGAATATGACCTGTTGCAGAACAAAATATGAAGATGGGTAAAAATAAATACAGGCTATGGAACTTGGCTCAGAGGTTTGCTTGAATTGCAATTTTAATGTTACCTTTTTGTAAGAGAAGATTCCAGTGTGTTTTATGATCCATGATGAAAGTGAGCAAGCTATGTCGCCTTTTTTTTTTTCTTGACAAGCGTCCACTCCCTTTTAAATTGGTGTAGAGTACAGTGCATTTCATGAATTTCTTTTCAATGGTATATTATAAAATAATCAATGCCAACTGTTGCATATGCTTACAAATAAGCATATGGAATTTGCCATATGTGTGTTTCGTATTGTCTTTTTGAAGAATGTATTTAGGAGATATTGTATGTGTGCCTTTTTATCAGTTGCAGTCTGTAAAGTCTGTCTACAGATATGAATGTCTCAATAAATTACGCCTGTTGTTCATTCTGGTGGTGACTGCATCTTATTTTAGGTACTGTGGTTTTAATAAACCAGCCCTCCCTTATATGACATAATCGTGTAAATCATGGTGCCTGTGCACTAGCCTTTATATTTTGGGGTTTTTGTTCACATGTTGTCTGCCACACCTCAGCCCCCTGCTGTTGCTTCTCACCTTGCTACAATGTTGCACTCCGAGGGATGCCTAGGGGAGGGGGAGACTAAGGCTGGGTTCACACCTAGGCGTATTGAATATGCGCGTTTGTCGCACGTTTCTACCGCGATTCGCAGTTAAAAAACGCGTGACAAACGCCCGTTTCCGAGGGCTACTTGGCTGTATCCCAATGGAAACGCAAGACCAAAACGCCCCAAAGAAGTACATGTACTTCTTGGGGCGTAGGCCGATTTGTATCGCGTTCGGACGGGCGGAAATACGGCAAGGTGTGAACCAGACCCATTGAATACAATGGGATTTAGATGTTTGACCATTTTGTAGAGCGTTCGTCGAGCGTTGAACGCGCTACAAAACGTTCAGGTGTGAACCAGGCCTAAGGGCTATTTCACACCAAGCGCGGAGCAGATCCAGAGCAGAGCAGGTGCAGACCGGATCAAAACTGCGTCCAATGTATTCCAATGGTATTTTGAGCTCCAGTTCACATCGCAGCGTGCAGATCCAGAGCAGGTGAAAAAACTGCAGCAAGCACTAGTTTACCTGCTCTGGAACGCATCAAAAACGCATGTAAATGCCTGGAAGGCACTGAAAGCCCATTTTAAACTTACATTTTTTTTTTTTTAACCAAAAAGAGCCCGGAACGCGTCAAAAAGACTAGCGTGCGTGTGCAGAAACCTGACCGGATCTGCTCTGCATTTGGTGTGAACAAGGCCTAAGGAAGTGCTTTTTCCTGCCTGGAGCAGTCTGATGACATTGTTCTTTGAGACTGCTCGTCTTTAACCCTAGACAAAGTCTTTGACTAAGTAAGGCCTCATTCACATGGTTTTCCAGGGCCATAAACTTCTCAGATCAAGACATTTCTGCAGGGAGTACAGCCTTGTGTTTACAATTAGGGATGCACCGATATTGTTTTTTTGGTATGGAGTACGAGTACAGATACTTTTCTTTCGGTACTCACCGATACCGAGTACCGGTGCATTGTGCCCCGATTTATCAGGAAGTCGGGTGGCAGATCATGACCTGTCGTCCGCCTTGCCTGTAAAGCCGGTGTTCTAGTGCAAGAACACCGGCTTTAGAAGCTGCCTGGCTTCCTGACCAATCAGGAAGCCCGGACACAAGTCATGAGGTGCCGTCCAGCTTCCTGACAAATCAACAAGTGATGCTGGCTTCCTAGCCAATCAAGAAGCCGGGGCGGCACGTCATGACCTCCCTGATTGGCTAGGAAGCCAGCTTCACTTGTTACTAGGCAGCCTGGTTTCCTAACCAATCAGCATGCCGGGAGGCAGGTCATTACGTGCCCCCAGCTTCCTGACTGGCTCGGAGGCCGGCTTCACGTATTGCTAAGCAGCCTGGCTTCTTAGCCAGGCTGCTTGGCAGATATAATAAAGTATATCTGAAATTATTACAGTTGGGAAATGTAAAAGTCATTGCCCTTGTTAGATTTTTTTCTTTTATCCTCCAGGGCCCCTAAATAATATAAGAATCCACATACATGTTTAGCTTTTTTTTTGAGAGGACATACAGGGGGGAACTTATCAAAACTGGAGCTACTGTACAGGGCAACCAATCAGCTTCTCTCCAGTTAAGATTTGAAAATGACAGAGTCCTTTATTATGCCCTCTAGCATTTTACAAACTACCGATGTTAGACTGACCGGCCTATAGTTCCCAGGTTGGTTACCATGCACAGCTGCTCCAGATTTTGCCAGCTTAATTTTTAAGCTGGTATACTGTCTTATTGGAAAGATGAATGGGTTTGCTTTGTTCACATGCACTCTATACCAATAGGAACCCATCACTCCAAGCACTCATCACAACTGAAAGCCTCGATCCCTGGGGTATCCTTACATGTGCCATGGTCACCTTGCGCACTGTTTTAGAAAGCCCAGATGTCGAATAACTTTCATTTGGAAATGAACTTGATTTATAGATCTATTAAGTTTGAATAAACACACCAGTGGCTGTGGTGGGAGTTAAACTGTGTGTGTGGCCCCTGTCTTTCTGAACTTGTCCACATTTTCTGCAAACCTACATTATTTCCTTTAGAAGACCGCCGTGTCAACATGACACTTCTTTTCTCCAAGCAAAGTTCTTCCAATGGCCTGGAATTGGTTGTTACTGCACTAAAGCTGGGTACACATGGCCCGAAGATTCCTAGATTCACGCTAACAGCATGGATGAATGAATCTCCCAATGTGTACATTACAGCTGACTGGCTGCAAGTGCTGTTCATCTGACAATTTTCCAGCATGTCCCTTTGACAACAGTTGATCTGAACAACTTTGGTCGAAGAGGTATGGCCATCCGTAGGTTGAATTTTGTCCAGTTCCTGCTGAATCGGACAAAATTTTTATCTGTGTGTACCCAGCTTTACACTTATAGGGGGGCATTCAATCCAAGGCCAAATGTATTTGTAATGTTCAACAATGCATTAGGCAGCATATATTTGCTTTTCTAAATGTTTATTTTATGCAACTTATAAAAAAATTGTAGAACATTTCAATCAATATGCCAATCATCTTCTAAACATTTCTTAGTTGATATAGTTAAATGTTAGGCTTATATTCTTAAAGATCAACTCCAAACTAGCAGCTAAATACAGTTTAACTGTATAGCACACCTCAATCTTCCTGCAATAAACCGCCTTTATTGGCTTGTATTCAACATGTCCTACAGAAAAAGTCAACGTTCCACAACTGCTTCACTTTTTTGGTATGACCTGCTGAACACTTATGAATAATGGTGATTTATTGCATGTAGATTGAGGTGTGTTGGCCACATATTTTCTTTTGTTTGCAGTGGTGTCACCCACTAGTTGCTTTAAGCACCCCACATTTAAGGACTCTAGTTTGATGTGCAATGGAGATTTCACTGCAGCAGCAACACATCCTGTACCAGTATGTACCCCCCACTGAGCTGATTGGAGAATGGAGGAGCATAGTGATGAGGGACATATAACACAGGGGCGAGTAACCTTGGCACTCCAGCTTTTGTGGAACTACAAGTCCCAAGAGGCATTGCAAGAACATGACAGGCATGATGGGATTTGTAGTTTGGAGTGCCAAGGTTGCAGAACTTGATCGTCTCCTAATGCTGCTGTACAGGGGAGGTTGGTATCAAGTCAAATTCAGGTAAACCGTTTGCATAAAAAAGTAAGTGAATGAATACATATTTTACCTGCATTCATTTGTGTTTCTATACATCTGTTTGGAGCCCCCCCACCCCTTGTCTGACTTCCCTACATGACACTAGCTGGGGTAGGCTTATCACTGTATGATGCTGCAGAGGTGTACAAACATTCATTTGGGTACAGTATTGCATGGCAGAGTAATTCTCAAAATAATACAGCACTGAGAACAAAAAAATAAAAAAAGTGCCTGGTAATGAAGGGGTATATACAGGTTGGTATTCTAGTGATTACGTTTCAACCAATCAGCTTCCCCTCTGTTTATCTCACCCACCTGGTAGCGGAGTGGTTGTAATTTGTACATTAGCAAAGTCTTGCTTACTCACCCGAGTGTAATGCCAGAAAAGAGGCAATACCTTTATCAAACTTCCTCTAGCCTAAAATGGAAGTTGAACTCAGACACTACCTTGTGAAAATAGCCGTGACATCATCACTGTGCTGCATATAACCTGTACAGAAAGCAGAGTTGTGGGAAGGGGGCCCAGAATATCCACAGGCGAAAGGGAAAGGGGGTGGAAACAAGACCAGTTGTCCTGCACAAGGGGAGCGCAGCATTGACTGCTCTATATTTCAGGAAGCTCCTGCCCAGAGACAAAAAGTTTCACATTGGATTACTGCACAGACGTGAAAGCAGAGTTCAGCGTTAAATACAATGGCAGGCAACTTAGCCTCTATACCAGTATGGGAGTGTTTTTATGCATCCTTGCAAATTACATAAAGTTTTTTTTTAGTTTGGGTTTAGTGTTTTGAAATACGTTGGTATTATAACACATTAAACATTCTTTTTTTTAAAGTTAAGGGATTTGATCAAAATTTAATTCCACCCAAGCCAATATTTTAGGTTTTGGTACATGCTAAAAAGTTAAATCCCTAACTGGTTTCTTTTGCATCTTTCAGGGGAGGAGCAAGGAGATCTTAGCACCTGAGATTTTGGGTCTGGATACCTTTGATGGTCAATAAAAGGATGGGGCACTCTGTGCTGGAACTTTTATTTATTTTATATTGACGTGGGAACATCACTGCTTTGGCAGAAACAGCACAACCTTAGGGTGGGCTAGAACAGAGCCCAAAACACTTAGTGCTGGAGTCCCCACTGGGCTCTGCCTATGTCTGAAAAACCCTTTTTTTGGTTGACTGTTGTACACATTTGCAAATCTTCACAAGTAAGACAGCTAAGCATTTGTAAAAAAAATATAAAAAAGAAGGACACATTAAAAAAAATGTTCTTTACTCCACTTCTTAGAATATAGACATAGGTGTATAGAAGAATCGTGTGTATAGTGGAATACAAAGGTTCCAAGGAGTCAATCCTCCATTGATAATGTCAATAGTACTGTTGTTCTGTATTCAAGTTTGTAATACTATTCCTCATAAAAATCAAGGCATAGGTTGAAGGCAAAGCTACTATTGGCAGAAGCATTGAATTCAGTTCAATTTTCCTGTTTGACATGGAAAAATAGCAGCAAAATGTTCACACTATAAGACACCACAAACTTATTGGGCATTGACCCACCGAAGGAAAAAATAAATAAAGTGCAGCATTCTGTAGTAGTAAATGTCACTAGTAGGAACACAGCCACACTAGTTCCTGTAGCGATATTGGCTCAAGTGCTTAATGGTACTTTATTGTATATCCATCATCTTTGCATCATCTTCCTCTGTTGGTTTCACTGGGACAAAATGGTGTGGATCTGGATCCATATGGCAATGTGGAACATTCTGTAATCAAAGATAAAGAAAAATAAAAAAAATATATACTCTACTCACTGATACACAGAAGAGTTAATAGAGAGACTTAGCTAGCCTACCTCAAGTCTACAGTATAGATGCAGCCATGTGCAAAATAGTTCACATTCACCTCTATGGTGATCATAGGCTGTAATGTACATGCAGTGTGTCAGTTATTATTCAGCTATTATTACTATTATTATGTCAGCTATTATTACCCTATATTATCTCAAAGAATTCATCCCCACACAGCTACCTCCTCATGTATCACTTCCCTCTCCCCTTTTAGATTGTAAGCCCCCAAGGGCAGGGCCCTACTTACCATCTTGTCTTGAATTGTGATTGTAAAGCGCTGCGCAAACTGTTGGCACTATAGAAATCCTTTATAATAATAATAACAATACCCTGCATTTGTCAAAAAAGAGCCCATCTAAACTCGAAACAGATACCAATATATGCCTTTCAAACGGTCTCTACATTAGATTTAATTTTTTTATACTACCTATAAGAACATGCAGGCTGCAAACATGGAGTCTTTCTTTTTTTATTCAATGACAGCTAAGGGTATTCATAGAATTGTGTGGCCTTCAAAAACTACCAAATCAAAACAACCACTTGCAACCCATGTTCAATCCATATATCTGTAAATAATGCGAGCAAACATGCAAAAAAAACACCTCAGTGTAAGCAACCTTTGAAAATAATTTCAGGTCTTGGAGAACCCCTGAAAAATATTGTGAATGGCAGTGTGTGTATAAATGAAAGCATTAATAAAATAAAAAATACGCAGTGGGTTGGTGCTCAGCAGAAACAATGCATTAATGCTCTTTGAATAATGTTTTTCTTTTCTCTTAAATCCTCAATTATTCAAATACTTTACTGTTTTTATCCTCCTGCTCCTTTTCCCCTTATTGCTGCCAATTCCTCTTCCCCCGTCCTGCTCCTTCTCCAGTGATTGCTGCATTTTTTTCGCTTCCGTTTGGTGCTGGCAACATGAGATTGCTCCTATTCACAGGAAGAACTCATGTCAGCACAACTTCTCCTCCCCTGGTCCTGCTTTATATCATTTCATTGCTCAGAGATCTCGGTCCCCCTGCATTTTTGACACTCTTGAGTTTGCTCCTGTTGGCGAGATGAACTCCTGACAAATCAGCTAGAACCACACACCTACTCCTCCTCCCTTGTCTTACCCCTCTCAACACCTGCTCTGCTTAGCATCCTGCACAGAGGTATTGAAAGCAGCGTTGGACAGATAGAAATCCACTGCAACGGTGGGGGTAGCAGAACCAAGAAGTATCACCACGTATTAAAAATACTTATTAAATCCACAAAGGGGACCAAGTACATGTAGCACTTGCTCATGTTCCCATCCGTTCTGTGATTGCTGAGCAGCATAGTTGGATCGCTCGCCTCCCCTTCCTAACTGCTGTCCAACCACACTGTTAGCAAGGAGACGAATAATTAATGAGCTTTGACAAGACAGCATATGCTGGAGACAAGCACCATCGTTTAGCACAGCAGGGGAAGGGGTCAGCACCATTCACAACACAAGCACTAGTAAAGGATTAGTCAATGCTGCAGGGCTGTGTAATCTATCTGCAGGAGCAGTTAATGTTTACTAGCAGCAGTCAGATAGATCACACAGCTCACCCACTCTGACTGTTCATTCACAATAGTAAAAGATCAGTTAACTCCAGGGAGAGCCATGGGAGCTGCTAAGAGGATGTGCCACAGGAGGTAAGCCATGTGGGCTGTTCGGGACTTGGGGATGTGAGCTGCAGGAAGAGAGGTGCCATCTGGAGGGCTGCTGAGGAGTACTCACAATAGTAAGAGATTCAGCACTAGCAGGGCTAGCAAGAACAAAACCAGGGCAGTGTGTGCAAAGTGAGAATATGTGGGAGGGGGCGGTTGCTTCAGGGCTGTGCTGTAACTTCCCCATAGGAACGCCCATAATTCCCGATTTGGGCTTTAGCCCTGGGTGGAGCTACAGCAAACAGAAACAAAGAGGTGCTTTTAGCTCAAAACCACAGCACGGATCAGAATGGGACCAATTGCTACATGCCCATACAAGGCTTTATAAGTTGAGGTGATACTTCTTGAATCCTTTCACACTCTAAGGTTTGGGCACACTGCCATAATGTAAGGTATTGGCTCTCTATAATATTTGTTGATAGGGGGCTTATGTACAGTACATAGCAGCTACTTCAGTAGTGGCTGTTTTTTACTTCTACTATCTAGAGCTGTGGTTCTCAACCTGTGTAACCTCAGGACCCACATTTGTCCTTGTTCATTGAGTCGCGACCCAAGTCGCACTGCGATCAGACTTTGGGTGGGAGGTGCGTTTGGGATGCCATTCAAATGAATGGCAACGTAACACAGCTCCCACACGTATGGATGGAGCACCCTTGCAGCCACAGCCGCAGCCCACTCCGCCTCAAGCTAGCACTCGGTGCCAGGCAGCATATTTTGGCGTGAGTGGTGCGAAAGGTGGTGGCTGAGAAGCCTTTCACCTAGAAAAGTGGAAGGCACGCTGTGACCCACTGAACATTGGTCATAGCATGCCCAAACCTCAGAAGACGTGTATCCAAACCTCTGTTTTTAACCCTAGGTGGTGAGACAAGTTTTTTTCATGCTAGCTTGTGAGTGTGCCAGGAAAACTTTTTGCTGTTTTTCCACTGAACATAGGGTCGCGACCCACTTTTGGGTCACGACCTACCAGTTGAGAACCAAGGATCTAGAGTATTTAATGTGGCTCAGTTTACATGTATGCATGGTAAAACATACCTGTGTATTAAAGCATGGTGTAGCAATTTGTTCAAAGCCAGGAGGATGATTCTGTAAATTCACAGACCATTGGGGCTCAGTGTGCATTCGAACTCTTGATTTAAATGCTTCAAGCTCACTTTTAAAAGCTTCAATGTACCCTTCTTCCTCTGCCTGTGAATGACAGGTAAAATAACAATTCAGTTCAATTTAAATACCAGTTCACAATGATGTTGCAAAACTTGAAACTGCAGAGAAGGGTATCGAAGGGCATGGAGGACAACCCCAGTGATGAGAAAAGAAACTTCACCCTTAAGGAGGAGGCTATCAATGCAACAAGATCATCTTACAAATGTTCAATATAGTAAAGTTTCAGTGGAAACTTGTTTTTGGATCACTGCAAAACACAAGTGCACTCCTAGCAACTGGATGAAAAGGAGTTGAATAAAATATATAGTTAAACAATATAAAGTTGAATAAACATGAAATAAGTAGAACATATTCTACAAGTGCTGGTTCTAGCCAACGTAGTAGATTGAAAAGGGACACAAAATATGAATGACTGCTAAAGTTTGTAGGACAAAACAGAATGTTGATTCTGGGAGTTCACCAATTGCCTTGGGGGATCAGATGGATTTTTTTTCCCTGTTGGAGCAACCATATATGGGTGTTTGCTTTCCTTTGGATCGATTACAGCTTTAATATTTTCTTGGATTACATAAATGCTATAATCATAATATAATTCACATGATTACTGATCTGCTGATGAATGTGAACAAAGGATAACCAAACTGCTGAACTTTGTGTCATCCTAAAGGAAACTTGTCATAGGAGAAATATGGAGAGATGCCATGACTGATCTCTCTTAAAATGCTGGTTGTGTGGCTGTCAAACTGACCCTCTTGCTTCAATACCGATAACAAGTATGTTGACGATTTCCGACTTCACTCCGGCATTCCTGATCTGCATACTGGTATCAAGTATTAAAGCCAATAAGTCAAAATAACAAAGAGGCAATATTCAGAAAGAGGTAATTTATGGTAACCAGTATATTTCTCCCATTGCAGGTTTACTATAAGAGGTAACAGCATCCACTAATGGGAGAAACTATCCTTGGTATAATGGCTAAATTTAAATAGTGACCTTGTTACTGGATGTGATTGCCAAGTATAAGGCAACAAAGGGATTAGTCAAGAGAGGACCCGCCTAGCTTTAAAAAAAAATGGCTACCAAAAACGAGAACACTGTAAAACAAGTGTTACATTCTGCAGAGCAAAGGTTAACGGCCTGTGTTAATGGGCTTTAGATTTGCGTCAATGGCATCCATTTGTGACTCTACTGAGATCATTCACAATTTATACATAGGTGCTTTTGACCTGCAGTTGGTCTCCTAACTAGCATTTGACCTACTTCAAGCAGGTTTTGCATTCCCATAGACTTGTATAGTAATGCAAACCACTTGAAGCAAACAAAATCCATTAACATAGGCCCTTTATGTTTCTGTATCATGAGTGATATTTGAGACCGTTGACTCTCAGCTAACCTTTCGAACTACTGTTTTATACAGAACACATTCTAAGCATCAGAAAAATTATCGCAATCTCTTAGACAAAAGTACCTACTTTAGCTTTTTGGAAAAACAGGCGGAAACATCCCCTTGGATCTGCATTACTGCTTCTTGCCATTTCAATAATAAACTGCATGACAACGGCTTGATGGGCAACTTGCTCCATGAGTGCTTTCTTCTGCATATACAAATCGGGAAAAATAATGAAAGCTACAAATTAGTAATCATGCAAGAATCTCGATGAAGACTCAAGTTCCCAGGCAAGACATGTAAATGACAGTATATGTTTATATGAAAGGTTCTCTTTGTGGAGCCTGCCCTCCAATACAGGAGATCGAGCACAGCATTGTGCTCGATCTCCTGTGCAGCCAGGCTTGTCCTGGGCGTAGGGCGATAGGAATTCCCCCACCCCTGTAATATGAGCCAGGGACAAACTATAGAATAAAATGTATACCTTTTAATCTATAGTAAACCTAGGGGACAGGTGAATCTTTAAGGTGCATATGCTTTAAGTAATTCTCCACCAGTTCAGGTTTGCTGAAAGTCACATGCACCGCTTTAAACATTTTCCCCTAGTTATTTTTAAATTAACACTGACCCAACTATAAAAAAACATTTATTGTCAAGAAATATTGTCCATATTGCAAATAGGAAGCCTTGTTTGAAGGAGAAAATGATATATGTAATGCTTTATCTTAAAGCTTCTCCAGTTATAAAAGAAAGAAACAAAATACCCTTGAAGTGGTGCTATTGGTGCAGGGCACAACAAGGGTTACATGCTTATTTATGTCTGGGGGAAGACTGGTGCCCACAGCATCTACGCTTTGGAGGGTCAGAGGCCCACTGACATCACATATAATGGAGGGCATTATACATGAGCACACCAAAGGACAGTCCCATGAGCCAGAGGGAGGGGAGAGAGGTGAGCACTCACCGTTGGGGTAGCAGGGATCAGGTAAGTAAAAGGGCTTTACACCATACCCCTAAACACAAGCAAGCAGTGTGGGGACAGCCCCACAACAAGGGTAATTTGTTTTTATCCTGGAGATAGGCCTTTAAGTAATGAACAAATTATAATCAAATCATGCACTGGTCCATAAGGGGTACACAGATGCATAAGAGGAAGTGGTTAAACAAGAGCTTTGAGTACTCAATAGGGGTTGAAGAATGCATATACATGACTCCGCTCTGGGCTCCTGTTCTATAGCTTTGCACCATACTCCTCTAGGCCTTGTTTTGCTCCAGCTTCTCCATGAGGAGCCGATTTCAAAGTTGGAGGAAAAATGATGTTGCTCAAAGCAAGCAGCAAGGTTTCACCTTTCAAATGTGAAAGTAAATGGTTAATCAGTATTTCCTCCACCTTCATAATTCACTCTGTCTGATACTTCCTATAGACTTCTACGGGCCCAACAGCTGCCACAGGTAGAGGGAGCTGCAGGACTATAACAAAAGCGTAAGGTAAGGGGTCTAGAATGGTAATCCATATTAAACAGAGCTCTTCTGAGAAAAATCAGTAAAAAGGTTTTAACAAATACTGACACTTACCTGCTCACTTTCTAAATGGTAACACCACAACAGGAGATATCTAGCAGTTTCATTACACACCAGGTCTGGGTATTCAGACAGGAACCACTGGCTATCATTCCATCTGCTGAGCATTCCTAAGGACAAATGTAGGCACACTGTTGGTTTAAAATTACCAGCAGCACTAAAATCAACCAGGAACAGCTACAGAAATTAGAAAGGTTCTATTTTCATTCAAACGTACAAACACATTTTTTGTTCTCTGATGGTCTGAGCTGCCTTGGAGCATGCAGGGCAAAGCAACATGTTCACATTTGAGACACACAACACTGTAAAAAAAATTCCATGCAACTTTAAAGCAAACCTGTTGTCAAGAATGGTCCTTACATCTTTCGAACCTCCCTATTGGTCGTTTATTATGACGGTTGGCCTCACTGACCAACAGGGAAGCCCTGAGGGCACAATAAAGTGGAGTCAAGCTCCACGAAGAAGCCAGGTGAAGATTTGCCTATAAATTCGTCTGCCTATATCTCTTGACTTACTGATTATTTAAAAGGTAGTTTTTACCAATGGTAACCTCTGTTTAGGCATTTTTTAACCATGCTGGATCACCTTGGGTTATAACAGGTTTACTTTCATACACACAGATCAATACAACCACTAGTTTGAAAATCCATGACGCAGCTGACACTTTACTTTATGCTGGTAATAATGATACATTACAGCACTTATATATACACCCTGTTTCCCCAGAAATAAGACCTACCCCGAAAATAAGACCTAGTTGTGACCATTCCCAGGGCACTGGTGGCATAAGGGGGAACTTGAAGAGCTGCAGGAGAGGCTGGAGAGAATCAGCGGTGCCAACGAAGCTAGCGCTAGAGGAAGCGAGGCGGCACCGAAGGGAGCAGAGCCGCATAAGCCGATGATTCCTCTATAACGCCGGCTCCTGTCACAGGCGTAGTGATACCAAATGCACTCGGCCTGTGAGGAATCGATAGTGAAAGTGAGCTTCGCTCATTCTGGCCAGCGATTGGTTACCAAATTGCTCTTGGAAAGGTACGGCACCCCTGAATGCCCTGATCACCATATTTTTGTACATGAATACATGTAGACTTTTTTCACATGAATAAGTGTGGATTGTTGAACTACCCCGAAAATAAGACCTAGTGTGTTTTTTTGAGCCATTTTCGGGGAAACACGGTAATAAATAGTAGGCTACCTACATACCAAAATGTCGAATTTTATCTTCAAATTTTTGTAAAAATGACTGCGATTGGTTTTCCTCCTCACTGGTTTTAGCTTGATTGATAAAGCTCTGTGTTTTAAAAAGAAATAAAAAAGGTAAGCATTGTAAAAGAGAAAAATGTTATACCTGAACAAAATGATATCAAATTTGGATAAACTAATGCTTCCTTGCATTTCCTCTCTCTATTACTAATACAAAGGAGTAATAAGACTAACAATCAATTCACCTTTTCATTATTAGAACAGAAATATAAACTTTTCTAACAGGTAACACAACAAACAGGGCAATCATACTGCTGAATAAATTATTTGCAAAAACTGGCATGCAAATCTTAAAGTCTGTCTTAAAGAATCTCCCAGTGTTCAATAAGTCCCTATTAGATTCACCATTATTTACAGATATGCCAACACTCTGTCCAGTAGTTTGTACATATTATGTTTGTATTATTCTTATAAATACACAAGGCAGCTGATTCCCGTCTACATGTATGCACTGCAGTGATAGCTGTATGGTATTTCACAGGACAGGTTTACTGATGATGACAACATTGGGCCATGCCTGTGTTATTTGTGTTGCAATTTGTGAATGGATGTTTGTAGTCTCCATTGGATGCCTGTGTGCAGGTGCTGAACAACTGGGGACAGAGCACAGGGGTTGCCTGAACAAAGACCTTCATGGTAGAATCACCAGGTATTTTAAAGTGACACTACATTTATGAGTTAAAGCTTATAAAATACATTCAAGTACCTTAGTTATTATCAAAAAATGTATCTTATTTGTGTATCACTCGGCTGTAGATCTTCAAATCATCTCTGAATTCATACAGACACCGTCCTTCCTCCTGGATGGTGGTTACTTTTGTTCCCCATGGTTCCAGTGTGGGTTATAAAGTAGACACCGCTCCAAGCTCACTCCTGTGATGGACTACAATCTCAATACAAATTAGTAAACTGAATGTGAGATTGTAGTCTATCACAGGAGTGAGCTTGGAGCGGTGTCTACTTTATAACCCACACTGGAACCATGGGGAACAAAAGTAACCACCATCCAGGAGGAAGGACGGTGTCTGTATGAATTCAGAGATGATTTGAGGATCTACAGCCCAGTGATACACAAATAAGAGACATTTTTTGGTAATAGTTAAAAGGTACGTGAATGCATTTTTTAAGATTTAACTCCAGAGTTTAGTGGCACTTTAAAACTGCAGGTTTAAAATTACTTTTAAAATGACATTATGTTAAGACTGAAATACAAGTTTAGTGATTGGGCTTACATATACTTGGAAAAAAAAAAAGTAAAAACCCTTGTAATGGGGTCAATAAACACCTTGGTCAGTGTTCTGAAATGTACAAAGGATCTGGAATGCTTCAAGTTACTGGCATTCTTTAGCTGGAAAGAACTTGACAATATCTGTCTTGAAAACCCAATAAAAAATTCTGCAAGTAGTTTGAGTCATTTATGTCACTGATTAAATGGCTCTATTTAATAGTTGCCTTCTTAGAGTGGCATACTTAGCAACAGATCACAGTACCTTATTAAATACATCTTGACTAAAGGCATCCGAAGAAGACATTCCCCAGTTCTCACCCAGTGGCAGAGCTGCTTCCTTCCGCCTCCATTCTTCTTCACTACGCTGTAGTTCTGACAGTTCAGTTTGAGTTTTGGCATATTCTTGATCTATGGACTCAGAATTATGAAGAGCCAAACTGTTCAGTTTCTGCTGAGCCTCTGCCAGGCTCCACTTGCATGCCATGGTGCTTCTGCCACCCTCATCTTGTTGCTGGCAAGGGAAGTCCATGCTGTGAGTATTTCCCTGGGAAGAATTGTAAATACGAGTTTAGATACAAACACTTCACAGACAACAGTATGACAATTTTGCACCCACTCTTACATTATTTTGCTTAAGGCTTAAGTGGATCACAACTTAAAGGAGAACTATGAGATGAGTGATTTCCACTCACCTCATAGTTCTAGCCGACCTGTGACAATGAGACTGTCACAGGTCGGCTCAGTAGATCGGGAGGCGAGCGAACACATACCAGGTTCGCTCACCTCTCGATCCTGTCACGGCTCTCTGCCGTGACAGGGGGAGGGCTGGATTCCCCGCTCCGATCTGCCAGCGCTGACTGGCGGACCGGACGGGGGAGGGGGCGGGTACAGCTGGCTCTGCCTCTAGATAGACAGAGCCAGCTGTCACTCACGCAGCTGGGCGGATCCCGTCATCTAAGTCGGGATCCGCTCCGGCGTCTCAGTATAGTAAGCTGTAGCTCGCGGTATACTGAGCTTAGGGTAACGGGAGGACGCTAGTTTGTGTCCTCCCGTTACCCTAAGGAGGAGAACTATGGGGAAAAACACTGACCCCATAGTTCTCCTTTAAGAAGTGAAGATTAGGAAACATCTAGAAATGCTAATCATGCCTAAGCAGTATCCTAAAATGTTTTAAGTCCTCATGAAAAATAGCATTGCACTTCATGTGCCTAGGCACCCTTTTACACAAGCCTGTATATCAGCAGTGTAAGATCATATAAAGGCACTGTGCCTCTGTGTGCCTTAAGAGATTGGCAATGCCACTACTGTGCTGCTCGCTGTTCTCCTTGATGGAGAGAAAGTGGTAAATAAAGGTCTGCAGACAAGCATCTCCCTGCTTCTATCATTCTGTGGATGTATGCTTTTTCCACCTCTCTGCTTCTTCTCGAATATTCCACTACCAGTCATCAGTGGGGCAGCTATGATACAAGGAAGCAAAGCCCACCTCCACACAGAAGCACCGTGCAGAACAAGGCATGAAAAGACAGTAAAAAGAAAATGATCAGCTGCAGAGAGCCAACAGGCAATGCTAGTCTTTTTCTTTCTGCATGCCTTTTTTGGACACAGCTTCCATAGTTTAGGTCTTCTTTAAAGTGTAAATGCATACAAAGGACAACATCTCTACAGGTCAATTTTTAGCATAACAGGAACATAAGAGAAACAAACACTACCACAACTTCTATTATAGTTTTGGTAGACTGAAGAGTTACATTGTTTGACAGTTTCTTTAGTCTCTCAGTAAACCTATAGGTCAGATCTATGCACATGAGTCTGCACACCTGCTGAGGAGATTTTAAGACCACAGAAACAGGTTAACATTTCTCTGCCGTGTATAGCGATAGTGTCGCAGGTGAGTTGTTGCCAGAATTGCAAGCGTAAGTCATGTTCAGAGCAGCACAATCCTTACTGTGTCAACAACAACAAAACGTCATACCACATAAACAGCAAACAGTAACCCACTGCAACTGAAGATGGCAATAACATCAATGCAGTGGGGTACCCCTGGTTGCTATGGGTTACCATTAGCTTTTTATGTATGAACTCTAGTATTACTTGTCACTGTGTCACCCTGAGGAAGGTGACCCTGTGAGGCTCTAAAACACTGGTGTGTTGACCTTGATGATGCACATGCGAGGCCCTGAAATATTGGTGTACTGACCTGATGACAAATATGTGAGGCCCAGAAATGTTGGAGTACCGACATTGGATGATGCGCATGTAAGGCCCAGAAATGTTGGAGTACCGACATTGGATGATGCGCATGTAAGGCCCAGCAATGTTGGTGTACTGACATCGGTGATGCGCATGTGAGGCTCAGCAATGTTGGTGTACTGACATCGGTGATGCGCATGTGAGGCTCAGCAATGTTGGTGTACTGACATCGGTGATGCGCATGTGAGGCTCAGCAATGTTGGTGTACTGACATCGGTGATGCGCATGCGAGGCTCAGCAATGTTGGTGTATTGACCTGATGATATACATGTAAGGCACCGAAATATTGGTATACTGACTGGATGATGCACAAACGAGGCCCTGAAACATTAGTGTATTGACTAGACAACGCACGTGCACTGCTTCATCAGGAGACTGGCTGCAAGAATTAGGAACAGAGAGCAGACCTTCTGATGATGCGCTATTGAGTACCCTGAGGCCTTCCGGCATGCATGATGTGGGTATTCCAGGAGGCTGCATGAAAGGAATATGTCCCCTAGGCAAGAACGCAAGTAGTGTGGGGAGGGTTCCCTCAAAAAAGGTATTAACAAAAATTGTCAGCGGGTGAGGGATTTGTTAGTGGAATGCTGGAAAGCGGGTGGGGAGGGTGAAGGTCCGTCTTAAAGCAGAACTCTGGGCAAATCAAATCTTAACCCTTGCAACCGGGCTATCCCACACTGTAAGGGTTAAGTGCTTGTTTTGTCAAGGTAGCTAAAATAACATAGATATACTCATCTAAACCACAATCCTGGCTCGCTCTTAGGCCGCTCCCCCTCCGCCACAGTGGTCTAGGAATCCTTGAGTCATCACATCCTATACAGTGTATTAGATGTGAGGACGCCGAGGGACATAGACAGGCTGGAGGGAATGGCGTAGAAGCCAGTGATTGCTGTTCGGGTTATATTTTAGCCCCCTAGACAAAAACGAGGGATGAGGAAGATTTGATTTGATCAACCTCAGTCTATGGTTTTCAATCAGTCTGATCAGACAACTGGATTCACACTGAAAAACAGTTGTTCTCATTCAGGCAGGAAGCACATCAGTCACATGTAATGAGCAGTTACAGATAGGATTAGAAAAGTACATATAGAAACCAGGTTTTAATATAGTAAGACCCAGTGAACGTTTACATTAGTAGATCACGTTTCCATGCCTAAGTCTAAAAAAAAAAACTTTTAAACAAAGACTACTGAATCCCTAAGCAGATAACTGTAACAAGTATGCAGAAAGAGGTTAGCTCCATAGTTACATAACCGGAAAGTGACTGTTATATGTGCTGCATGCCTCTTTGGCAAGACACACACTTACCAGGCAAACCAACACAACATGAACGGGCACACAGCACCAGACTCGCAGCTCACTCCCCTTCCGGCCCGCACAGCCAATTATACAAAGAACCAAAGCCACCTCCTGTCTTGGCGTGGGATCTACCGCTACAAAGATGGCTCCCTCGGTTGCCTTCGTCACAGGATGTGCGACCCAATCAGCACAAGGGTGGGCGCAGGATGATGACGACCAAAGAGCAGCTTGTCAGTAAGCGCTGTGTTTGAGTTTCCTGGGGAGGGGGCGGGTACAGCTGGCTCTGCCTCTAGATAGACAGAGCCAGCTGTCACTCACGCAGCTGGGCGGATCCCGTCATCTAAGTCGGGATCCGCTCCGGCGTCTCAGTATAGTAAGCTGTAGCTCGCGGTATACTGAGCTTAGGGTAACGGGAGGACGCTAGTTTGTGTCCTCCCGTTACCCTAAGGAGGAGAACTATGGGGAAAAACACTGACCCCATAGTTCTCCTTTAAGAAGTGAAGATTAGGAAACATCTAGAAATGCTAATCATGCCTAAGCAGTATCCTAAAATGTTTTAAGTCCTCATGAAAAATAGCATTGCACTTCATGTGCCTAGGCACCCTTTTACACAAGCCTGTATATCAGCAGTGTAAGATCATATAAAGGCACTGTGCCTCTGTGTGCCTTAAGAGATTGGCAATGCCACTACTGTGCTGCTCGCTGTTCTCCTTGATGGAGAGAAAGTGGTAAATAAAGGTCTGCAGACAAGCATCTCCCTGCTTCTATCATTCTGTGGATGTATGCTTTTTCCACCTCTCTGCTTCTTCTCGAATATTCCACTACCAGTCATCAGTGGGGCAGCTATGATACAAGGAAGCAAAGCCCACCTCCACACAGAAGCACCGTGCAGAACAAGGCATGAAAAGACAGTAAAAAGAAAATGATCAGCTGCAGAGAGCCAACAGGCAATGCTAGTCTTTTTCTTTCTGCATGCCTTTTTTGGACACAGCTTCCATAGTTTAGGTCTTCTTTAAAGTGTAAATGCATACAAAGGACAACATCTCTACAGGTCAATTTTTAGCATAACAGGAACATAAGAGAAACAAACACTACCACAACTTCTATTATAGTTTTGGTAGACTGAAGAGTTACATTGTTTGACAGTTTCTTTAGTCTCTCAGTAAACCTATAGGTCAGATCTATGCACATGAGTCTGCACACCTGCTGAGGAGATTTTAAGACCACAGAAACAGGTTAACATTTCTCTGCCGTGTATAGCGATAGTGTCGCAGGTGAGTTGTTGCCAGAATTGCAAGCGTAAGTCATGTTCAGAGCAGCACAATCCTTACTGTGTCAACAACAACAAAACGTCATACCACATAAACAGCAAACAGTAACCCACTGCAACTGAAGATGGCAATAACATCAATGCAGTGGGGTACCCCTGGTTGCTATGGGTTACCATTAGCTTTTTATGTATGAACTCTAGTATTACTTGTCACTGTGTCACCCTGAGGAAGGTGACCCTGTGAGGCTCTAAAACACTGGTGTGTTGACCTTGATGATGCACATGCGAGGCCCTGAAATATTGGTGTACTGACCTGATGACAAATATGTGAGGCCCAGAAATGTTGGAGTACCGACATTGGATGATGCGCATGTAAGGCCCAGAAATGTTGGAGTACCGACATTGGATGATGCGCATGTAAGGCCCAGAAATGTTGGAGTACCGACATTGGATGATGCGCATGTAAGGCCCAGCAATGTTGGTGTACTGACATCGGTGATGCGCATGTGAGGCTCAGCAATGTTGGTGTACTGACATCGGTGATGCGCATGTGAGGCTCAGCAATGTTGGTGTACTGACATCGGTGATGCGCATGCGAGGCTCAGCAATGTTGGTGTATTGACCTGATGATATACATGTAAGGCACCGAAATATTGGTATACTGACTGGATGATGCACAAACGAGGCCCTGAAACATTAGTGTATTGACTAGACAACGCACGTGCACTGCTTCATCAGGAGACTGGCTGCAAGAATTAGGAACAGAGAGCAGACCTTCTGATGATGCGCTATTGAGTACCCTGAGGCCTTCCGGCATGCATGATGTGGGTATTCCAGGAGGCTGCATGAAAGGAATATGTCCCCTAGGCAAGAACGCAAGTAGTGTGGGGAGGGTTCCCTCAAAAAAGGTATTAACAAAAATTGTCAGCGGGTGAGGGATTTGTTAGTGGAATGCTGGAAAGCGGGTGGGGAGGGTGAAGGTCCGTCTTAAAGCAGAACTCTGGGCAAATCAAATCTTAACCCTTGCAACCGGGCTATCCCACACTGTAAGGGTTAAGTGCTTGTTTTGTCAAGGTAGCTAAAATAACATAGATATACTCATCTAAACCACAATCCTGGCTCGCTCTTAGGCCGCTCCCCCTCCGCCACAGTGGTCTAGGAATCCTTGAGTCATCACATCCTATACAGTGTATTAGATGTGAGGACGCCGAGGGACATAGACAGGCTGGAGGGAATGGCGTAGAAGCCAGTGATTGCTGTTCGGGTTATATTTTAGCCCCCTAGACAAAAACGAGGGATGAGGAAGATTTGATTTGATCAACCTCAGTCTATGGTTTTCAATCAGTCTGATCAGACAACTGGATTCACACTGAAAAACAGTTGTTCTCATTCAGGCAGGAAGCACATCAGTCACATGTAATGAGCAGTTACAGATAGGATTAGAAAAGTACATATAGAAACCAGGTTTTAATATAGTAAGACCCAGTGAACGTTTACATTAGTAGATCACGTTTCCATGCCTAAGTCTAAAAAAAAAAACTTTTAAACAAAGACTACTGAATCCCTAAGCAGATAACTGTAACAAGTATGCAGAAAGAGGTTAGCTCCATAGTTACATAACCGGAAAGTGACTGTTATATGTGCTGCATGCCTCTTTGGCAAGACACACACTTACCAGGCAAACCAACACAACATGAACGGGCACACAGCACCAGACTCGCAGCTCACTCCCCTTCCGGCCCGCACAGCCAATTATACAAAGAACCAAAGCCACCTCCTGTCTTGGCGTGGGATCTACCGCTACAAAGATGGCTCCCTCGGTTGCCTTCGTCACAGGATGTGCGACCCAATCAGCACAAGGGTGGGCGCAGGATGATGACGACCAAAGAGCAGCTTGTCAGTAAGCGCTGTGTTTGAGTTTCCATGGAGACGAGACGCTTCCTCCGGGACTCTAGGAAGCCGCTGAGATTGTAAGCTGCTCTGTTCTAATTTCTTGAATTCTATTCTGTTTTATCTAAATCATCTAAAATATTATTTTAAATATATTAAATCTATGTTTATAATGTATCTAGTTATCTATCCTATTTCAACAATCTTTTGCATTCATTCATTCACTATACATACAATTGCCAAATGTACTTGATCCTGACCTTAAGAGATTTGTTTTTGGAGATCTCCTTGATTATGCATTTTAACCCTTTTACTGCCAAATTTTTTTTCCCTTACAAATTCTTTATTTATTTACAAAAGCAGCAATATAACGAAACAGATATTTGTTACGTGTATTGTCATCAACTAGGGGCTGGGCAACAAAGAATGTACAGTAGGAACAAATGTACAGAGTGTAATAAGAAGGGAAGGGACAACTCAAGGATGTGGGTTCCAAGCGGCAACAGGTTATGCAACTGGAGAAGAAACCACAAGAGCAATTCAGTTCGATCAAAGATAGAGGGTTTGGAGCAGGTCATGTGGGATCAGAACCCATAGCAGGAAAGAAGGGAGGGGCTGAAGCTGGGTAAGAAAATGTTGGTAATCCCCTTGGCGATCCAGTTGGGGGGTAATGAAAGAGGCAAGACAGAGGGAAAAAGGGGATGAGTAGCAGGAGGGATGGATGTTGATGGATGGGCAAGCTAACTGTGGGTAAGACTGGGCACTAAGTAAAATATGAGTGGTGTTTACAGAAAACAAAATGTGAACATTGGTTTTTCTCTCTCTCCTATTGAGATACATTTTTACATTGTTTTTTTTCAGCAACTTGTACTTAAAAGCCTGCTGAATGAAGTATAAAGCTGACCATACACCTATAGATTATCTGCATATTTTCCATGGTCAGATGGAAAAAGTGCAACAGATTCCTCCATCTACGCTAAGCTGTGTATCTTGCTAGTCGGCCCCGCTGGCTGTCAAAATACCTGAACAATCTGATTGGATGCAGGCATTGTTCAGGTATTTTGACAGCCAGCGGGGCCAACTAGCAAGATACACAGCTTACATTTGAAGGAGAGAGACTGGCAGTGGCCGATCTTTACTACAGGAAACTCCTGCACAGAGGTAGTTTTCACACTGGATTACAGCACAGATCTGGAAGAAATACACAAAACACACCAAGATTCAAGTAAGAATACACATGGCTCTTGTATGTAGGCAGTATTGGCTTTTCCTAAAGTGATGTGTTAGGCGTACTACTTTCACAACCAAGTGCCCCTATGAGTTATTATTACATGTTGATACTTGTAATAAAGTACAATTCATAACGGAAAATTTGCATTTCCCTTTGCAGAGATAAGGTGACGTGACCTGTAATGGCTAAGTAACATCTTTGCTGACATCAGTTAAAATACTACTAGCTGCTACTTTCTGTCAACCTCCTGAAACATGCCTCTGAAAGTTGTGGTGGAACTTCAGATTCATGCTGTAAGTGTTGCTATAATTAATAATCTAAATAATATAATATTGCTTCAATATTGGATAGAAATATAATTTAATGGAATTTTGTTTCTTTTTTAGGTTACTTGCCCCGGGGTATTCTTGCCAGATAAAGATGACATTTTCCTTAGTACAAGCCTTCTAGGTCAGTGTAAAGAAACAAGATGCCTTCCTGCTGTGTTTCCACTACTGTTTCATGAAAAAATGAGGTTTGAAAAGGTAAGTCTGCATTTGTAGGTTGGCACTGTAGTCATGAACCTTGCCAAGAAGTGTATATTGCGCTTGTGAAGATTTATTATATACTTATTTTAGAGTGGTCAGTTATGCATACTAAAACATAACTGACATACTAAACTCAGGAGTTTGATTTTAAAAACGCATTCAGGTATCTTAGCTATTAACAATAATGTATCTTATTTGTGTATCACTCGGCTGTAGATCCTCAAATCATCTCTGACTTTGTGCTGACAATGTCCTTCCTTCCTTCTGGAGGGTGGCTACAGCTCCTCTATTTGGTAGTTCCCACTGATAAGAACTGTGAGGAGGAGATGGGATGGGTGAGCAACTCCAGTTTTCCTACCCTGTCTTGGCGTCTTTTATTGCTTCCTACTTCAGGAGTCTAACGTAATAAGGTTGTAACGTTATCATGGCATGTGTCACTTGGCCTGCCTGCCTGCCCGCAAAACATTCTTATAAAGTCCCCTTATCCAGCTGAGACAGGGAGACATCACCTGGAATTTGGCCACAGGAAGCTCAGACAAACTGATACATACTGCACTCTATCACACAGTTATGCTCTATGTGAAGAAGGGAGGCGGTCCCGTGTGTAAAATGGTTCAAGCTCTTGGAGAACTCTGGGCAAGGCTATCACTGCTTTAACACCATATTTGGTATAATATCTAATATAGTGAACGACGTAACAAATAAGGTGTTATGATGTCATAGGGAACTCTAGATAGAACTCTAGGTAGGTCCAGAATTCCTTGCACAACTAGAATTGTTTTCCAGCCACAGTCCAACTCACTGCTTTTACTATATTATAAATGTAGTTAATGTAAGTGTATGTGCACAGTGAAGGTTTTCAGTGAATGTGTAGCAAATGTGTAGTGAATTTGACACTTGCCTGATAATAAATAGGGCAAATACCACAGTAAACATGATTTTACACTGGCAGGGTTATTCACAAAAGGATGAAGAGTTTGGAGAAGGCAGGAGAAGTGAACAATCTAGGACAACATAGATGAACTGGAAAGTGAGCTGAATTGGAGAATGTTTCCAAATCAGCTATGTTGTCCTAGATTGTTCACTTCTCCTGCCTTCTCCAAACTCTTCACCCTTTTGTGAATAACCCTGTGAATCATCTATTTGCAAATGTTGCGAAAGCTAGCAAATGTGAAGGTGAATGTTTCCAGCAAGTGTGCTTTATACACAGTATGTGGTAAATGATTTGCCAGTCCCACATTGCAAATATGTGGTGAATGTCACATTCTCTGTATTTTAAATAGGTTCCTATCTGTTAACTGGACATCTTGTATCTTTAATCATTTGTTTGTGCTTTTTTTGCAGGTTTTTCAAAAGCAAGTCGATCCAGCTGCAGTGGTTGAAATTCTGGAAAGTAAGTGGAGCTGCTAATTCTTTGCCTAAATAGAAACTATACATAGATGATATACCTTTCATACTGCGTTTCTATGAAAACAAAGCGGTCTATTCACAAAAGGGTGAAGAGGTTGGAGAAGGACGGAGAAGTGAACAATCTAGGACAACATAGCTGATTTGGAAATATTCTCCAATTCAGCTCACTTTCCAGTTCAGCTACTGTATGTTATCCCAGATTGTTCCCTTCTCCTGCCTTCTCCAAACTCTTCACCCTTTTGTGAATAGACCCCAAAGTTTTAGTAATGTTCTTAAAGGGATGAACAAGTCATACTTAAAGGAAACACACGGAGGCGCACTTAGCATAAGTATCTGTGAGGATACTATTTCGTTTTGTTCTTGATCATGTGGTTTTTAACTTCCAAGATAAATTACGTTTTTTCCCAAGCTGCTGCAATTGTTTGCTTGGCTGGTAAGAAAACAGAATTTGCTATCTTCTGTTGATGATTATTAACCTCCCTGGCGGTATGATTATTCAGGATTTTAGCATCCCAAAGCGGTACATTGTTTTTCATGGAAATTTGTTGTTTTATATTGTAGGCCCGTAATTCTTAGTAAATCTTAGGAATAACTCACCTAAATCTGTCCAAACAAGAGTCCAGTAGACATCCCAGGTATGATAAAGTTTGAAACACGAAATTAAAAAATGATAATATAATAAATTATAAATAATTATAAGAAATTATAATATAATAAATAATTATAAAAAATTATGATATAATAATTTAAAAAATGGTTCAGTAAATGGGAATTCTGGGGGCGCTGCCTGATCCGTACCACAGTCAATAGAGTACCAAGTTCGCACATCACTGAGCTCGGTCGCAGAATCGTCGCTGTTTTAGGTCAAAAGCGGTTTTAGACCAGGTAGAAAACAGCGATAGTAAATTAGAATCACTTGCAGAATTGAGCGATAGCGATTCGTTGGGAAATTCGTCATCAGACACTGAAAGTCGCTTTCAGTGTCTGATGAAAGGAAAAACATGAAAGGAAAAACAGACCTTTGGTATAAAGTCGCTTTCAATGTCTGATGACGAATTTCCCAACGAATCACTATCGCTAAATTCTGCAAGTGATTCTAATTTACTATTGCTGTTTTCTACCTGGTCTAAAACCGCTTTTTGGATGCCATGGACGTTCACAAGTTTCCAGGCAGAAAGAACAGTAAAAGTGCAGGCGGGGCACTGGACAAAGCTTTAGGGACAAAATTGAAGTGAAATAGTTTGATACATAAGTGTAATCATAGCAGATTACATTGTATTGTGTGTATTCTGTGTAAATGTCATGTTTTCACTTTTGAATTTCCCGCCGGCTCCGCCCCCCGCTGTGACGCCCAAAAACTAAACTAAAACTCAGATGCCGGCATCGGCCGGCCGCGTACAGCAGAGGACATCGCAGGCTTGCAGGGACAAGGTAAGTTACACTTTTCTGTGCAATCCCGAGTCTGGTTCGGGGTTACCGCTCTTGGTACTGAAAATTAACCCCGAGCCAGACTCGGGAATATCGCCTGGGAGGTTAATGGCTGAATTAGGCCTGGAATATTATGTTATGAGTTCAGCTTTAAATATTGGGCTCATGTTAATAGTTAAGTTGAGGTTAAGCATTGGGTTTAGAAGTTACATTGGGACTTAGGGTCATTAAGTGTCTCTTTCTTTCCAGGTATGATAAATAAAATTGTATAAAAGTGTATAACACCTCCAGTAGACATTATCAGTGTTGAAAATGTGTGTGCACTAATTTCTGGCACACCCAAAACAAGCAAGCAAATTTTAGTGCTGCAACAACTAATCAATTTAATTGATTATAATCGATGCAGTGGATCTGACCTGTGTCTTTTTTTCAACCTCAAATACTATGTAACTATGTAACTGTCTTCTGGGACTTAGCAATGCCCACGATCTAGATGGAAAAGATTGTGATGTCACCTATGATTAGACATCGTGGCTGGCCGGCGTACGGTAACTACAAAAAACAACTTTCCCCCCCCCCACAGACTTTTTTTCCCCATTTTGTATGTGTTTTTAGCATGGGGGAAGAGCATGAAAGGAAAAACAGACCTTTGGTATAAGGTCCAAGCTCTTCTATTTGTTTTATTCTGCATTTGTTTCTGTTTCTTTATGTAGCTTTGGGTACCGGATAATGTCCTCCTCAAAGTGCTTTATGTATGCAGTTATATTGGTTATTAGATGCAAAGTGCTTGTATTCACAGCAGAGACCTCTGACATCTTTACCTTAAGGAATCTACCCGACAGATTTTCAACATAAGTTCTGTTTCTAGGGGAATCTGCAGAAGAAAAGATTAACATGTGCCTGTGGGTGCCTCAACTGAACACAAAGGGGGGAATTCATACAAACTGTAACAGACCGAATCTGGAGCAGTTGCCCAGTCAGCTTCTCTTTTCACTTTGTTCAGTTTTGCTTTGAAAATGAAAGGTAGAAGCTGATTGGTTGGGCAACTGCTCCAAATTCTGTCTGCTCCAATTTTTATGAATTCCCATCACCATGTGCTCAAGCAGAAGGGTTTAATTTTTGCTTCTGAATGCCAATTTTTATGTGTCATTTGGAATTTTCCAAACATGTATAAGGTTCATGACTGCGTTCGACCTTATTTGGTATAGTGTTACTGCCTTGTTGCTGTAGAAGAGCTCTATGTGATTCTTGCCTTGTGGCCTTTTGCACTGTCCAGTTATATTGCTACTAAATTGGTGTATACAATATTCCACTTTCCAGAATACCCAGCTGGATTTGAATTGATGCAGGTCGGCCAGTCAGGTAAGAAGATACACATCTGTGCCTTTGTATGTTAAACGTACATTGGGGGGAATTTCAAAACTGTAGCAGACAGAATCTGGAGCAGTTGCCCGTGGCAACCAATCAGCTTCTATCTTCGGTTTGTTCAGTTAAGCTTTGAAAATGACAGATAGAAGCTGATTGGTGGCCATGCACAACTGCTCCAGATTCTGTCTGCTACAATGTAGATACATTCCCCTCAATGTTCCTTATTGTCTGAATGTTTACTGGTTAAATGTTTAATGTAATAGGGACTCTGACTACATCTGCCTGTAGTAGGGATGTCCAGATACCAGTTCAGATACCAGTGCCCATACTTGGCATTTTCACGAGAACTACCAGGGTTGCAGAGGTTGCAGCTGTGACCTGGCTCTGGTGCTCCACCACTGTCCTAAAATCATTGGTCACTGTATTGTTTTAGAAAAACTGTCACATGACAATAAACAAAAATGTATCAGTACTTGTATCTGTAAGTACTTGTACTTGGAGAAATGGTATTGGTGCATCACTTTTATATATATATTGACTATATTGAAACATCACGCTTCAGTCATATTGATAAGAATGTTAAACATTCTTGTAGCCATGCTCTTTCACACCCATTCATTTAGGTTAGGTGAAAGACTAGAGTAATACAGTAGATTAGGTTCAGGTCAAGGGTTAGGTATACAAGTTATGTTCAGGATCAGGGTGAGGTTTAAAAGTTAGGGTCAGGTTTAAAGTTAGGTTAAAAATTAGGTAGACTGTTGATTAAAGGCTAAGGTTACCATTCTAACCACATTTCATGCTACACCCATGTTTAGAGTGTAACAGGAAACATGGCTAGATCACAACAAACCCTCCCCCCTGAACCCCTTCCACCCTCACTTACCTAAAATGTAGGTAAGGAGGCTTCAGTTTCCTATGAAGTCCTCTCTATTCTCTTGCCTTAACTACCTAAACCCCCCAAAACCAACACACCGATAAACTCACTACTTGAAATTAACTGTATTTGTCTCCTGGCATATCGCATAGTCCCTATGTTACCCCTTTGACGCGTTTCACTCTAACCAGGCTTAGCCATAGAGATTCTACGCCTCTCTCTATGACTAAGCCCGGTTTGGGTAAAACTGTGGACTGTGTGGTATGGTATGAGCCGTATAAAGCTGATTTTAACCAGTGATTCCATCAGTGTGGGGCTGTTTTGGCAGTCCAGTGTCGAGCGAGGACGCGTTCATTAATCTCTCTCTGCTCTGTACGAGCTGGACTCAGCAGAGAGATTCAGTTTGGATCTCTCTGCTTAATGCTGCAGGGAGAATGCGGTGATTGGAGGAGAGCTCAGCCGTCGTGTTCTTTGACAGAGCACATGACCGGGCTATTCTCCTCCTGTTGTAATTGATTTAATTTATTAATTCAGCGTTTCATTCATTGAAGTCTGACTTCATACAGGGTTCAGTACCCATGGTCCAAGGTTTGTGATTTCCCAATGGGTTCTTTACCAAGGTGACATCTAGAAATGTTGCCAAATAAGAGTGAGACTTCTCGATTTTAGGATTATTACACATCAACATAGGGTTTGCCATAAATATGTTTTGGAGTATATGATTTATATGATGTCCAGTGAAGACAAACACAGTTATGTAAATGTTTATATGAACAGAGATGTTACTGTTTTGTACACGAGTCTGTTTTCTTTCTCATACATGTGGATTTGGTTATGGTGATCACTCTTCAGGTGCTTACAACAGATTACTTGTAGGTATTCTTAAAGCATTTCTACATCTGACTAATGATGGTCTATGTCATCAAAGGGATTACCAGGATTAAAGGAAGCCATTTTGTAAGTGCTAGTTCATCTATTGCTTTAGGCTCAACTGAACACACATCAAAGGTACCTTGAAAGGCGCATTGGCTTAATTTTTTTCATATGTATGAAAGCCAGAGACACTGATTAAGAACATAATGCTTCTTTGTACAGAATCTGGGAATCATTGACACATTTACACATTCATGAGCTATCTGGGGGGCATGATACCATGTTTTACTGATCAAATACTTGAAGTAAAGTCTATCCCTGGATGAAGAAGTAAAAATTTACAGATGCTGTCCATTATTATGGTGTCACTTATTTTATATAGTAACAACTGAAAGAATTTGTCTGTGTTTACCACATTTAATGCATGCTTTTCGTTTCATTCCTTTTACAAAGCTTTCAGCTTCGGAAGCTAAATGCCATCTTTCCCTGATGTTCTCTTTAAAGAAGAACTCTGGGCTAATAAAATCTTAGCCACTGCAGTGGGGCTACCCCCACACTGCAAGGGTTAAGTGCTAGTTTTGCCTAGGGAGCTAAAATAACAGAGATATACTCACCCGACCCGTGATCCTGGCTGGCTCCTAGACCGATTTCTGCAGCTTGTCTCCTGCTTCGCTCCAGTGATGCTTCCCTCAGCATCCTCACGTCTTATGTACTGTACAGGATATGATGGCTCACAGGAGCTTAAACTGCTGGAGTGGAGTTTGGCTTTAAGAACCCCTGCTTTAAGGAAAATAGTGTTACACAACTCTGTACTGACACAAAACTAAACGCAAGCACCAGCCACACACAATGCACTTAAGACAGATGTTATGCATGTACCCTGACAAAACACACACATGATTATATATCATAATAGTACATAACTCTCTCTAGTGTTACTCCTTGTTCCGTTGGTTGAGTCCAAGGATGATATTTGTGCATCATATCCCTGGAGAGATTGACTGTTAGAAACTAACATGGGGTTGCAGAAAGTGCATGCTCAGTACTGTCATGTGACAGCTGTAGACATCTACCTAAAGTCATAGCACCCCACACTTAACTGTACGCACTGAGCCTTACTTTTATACTGTGTACTGCTTGCCTGTATAAATTGTACTTAACAATTATATATGTCATGCTGCTGTATGCACTGTCCTGTACATTATAGTCTCCGCAATGCTTGGTTGTATACAATGTGCTCTATATTATAATATACATATTGCTTGGCTGTTGCATATGCCACACCATTCAGTTGTATATACAGTTCTGAACATTATACTCCATGCTGCTGTATAGATGCTGTATATTATGTTCTCCACACTTGCTTGGCTGTATAATTAATATTGTACAATTAAATACTTCAACTTACGTAGCTGTATACACTGTGTTGTTGGTTAAGGCTGGGTTCACACCTGGGCGTTTTTCAGCGCTGATCGAAGAGCTGAAAAACGCTCAAGAAGTGAAATCCTATTAATCCCTATGGGCATGGTTCCCACCTGGGCGTATTCGCGCTGAAAACCCCCTACGCGCGAAAAAGTACTTGAGCTTCTTTTTCGCGCGTAGGGGCAGATTTCAGCGCGTATCCATTGGTATTCTCGAGTGTGGCTCGGGGTAAATTTTCTGTACCAAAGCGCTAACCCCGAGTCACACTCGGGAATACAGCGTAGGTCTTACCTTGTCCGCGATCACCGCTGTGTCCTCCGGCCGCTGCCGCCATCCGGCCGCTGCCGCCATCCGTCTTCCGGGTTCCGTCCCTTGCGAGCGTCCGCATTGCAGGGGGGCGGAACCGGCGGGAAGTTTAAAAGTTAAAAAAAAAAGAAAAACAGATAGAGAAAAAAAGGGAAAAAAAATTAGGAAAACCCAGGTGTGAACCCAGCCTAAATAGACTGCCTGGCCAAAAAAAAAGTCACCATCTGGATTTCAGGCAGTGTTATGATCTGGGGTTGCTTCAGCTGGTCACGTCTAGGTTCAGCAATGTTCCCCAAAAAATGAGGTCAGCTGCCTTCTTGAATATACTGAATGACCAGGTTTTTCCATCAATGGATCTTTTCTTCCCTGATGGCACAGGCGTATTCCAAGACGATTCATCGTATTCAAATTGTGAAAGAGTGGTTCAGGGAGCATGAGACATAATTTTCACACATGGATTGGTCACCACAGAGTCCAGACCTTAACCCCAATGAGAATAAATCCAGCCTTTTAGTAAATGGCATGCTTGCCCTGTATTCAAAGAATTATAACGACACTGTACTCTTAAATTAAACTAATTAACAAGTTGTAATTTTTTATTCAACCAGTTAGATATTTTTCTCTTAGGATTTAGGGTTAACTTTGTTTTCAGCGTGGTGCATGCAGCTTCTGTAAACACTTCCATATGTGAAACCATTTATGCGTTCTTTGATCCTAAGGGGGTGATTTACTAACCTAAACACATGCACGCACCAGGTGCGTGTGATTTTTACACAGCAAAACGTATTTATCAACAAAAAAGTCTCTAAAAGCATATTTCCACTAATGCCATATATGGAAAAATCATGCACATGATGCATATATAATGCTGCTTCACAGTTTAGACAAAAATGGTTAGCTCATGCATTTACATTCCTGCATTCATCAACGCAAGCAACACAATGTAGAGCTAATTTACACAACATCACCTTGCAATTCATGCAGGGCTTTGCACAACACACCTGCTGGGTGTGTACACACTACAAAGGTGTCTAAATTCCACCAATAGATCATGCTGGGAGGGAACACACTACAGAGGTGTATACTTGTTCGTGGCATGTTTATAAGGTTAGTAAATCAACCCCTAAGTGTCAATGAATGTGAGGAGAATGCTGCAGTTGTTCAGTTATGATCCCCATGTACACCAGTCTGAGGACCAACAATTGCCTATGGCAACATCCCTTGTACAACCCATATAAAATGAGCCTATATGGGACTTTTAAGGTACCTTGTATAAATCATCAGAAAGTGCATCTTAAAAAATAATAATAATATAAGATGTATGTTTTACTAAAAGGTACACTATCTGTCAAGATACACGAAGATAAACTGTATACAAGGTACCTTATAACAGGCTCATGTCTATAGGTTACTGCATGTTAGCTTCTCCCTCTTTGCAAGCAGTTGTGATAGTAGTGTTAATTGCTTATACTTTCCACTGCTCTTCCTCTTTAATATATAATATTGGTGTGCTAAACATATACAAGACTAATATGAAAAGCATATATTTTGGGGAGAGGGGTTTAGCATAATACTCACCCTGCTTACATCTTGTTCTCTCCTTTAACTTCTGCCCAAACTCGTAATTGTACAGGCGTGAAAATAATCTGTACTTTTTCTACAATATACAGTATGTCTAGTCATGCACAGTTGCTGGACACTAGGTGGTGCAAAAGCCCTTTACATGAGTTGGCTGTGTGTATATAATAATGATATACTGAGTGATCTCTTCTGGAGATCTTATCAACTTTTTGTGCAGATAGGTGTAACAAAATACAATAGCTTAGGTGAAATAAAAGGTTGTTGTATAATGCAACATAAGAATTTATTAGACATTTTATTTGCAAATAGCTTTTCTCTTTTACCTTGGTGGAAGACTGTAGATTCCACAGTATTTTTTATTTTATTTATATTTATTTTATAAATGTATATATATTTATATTTTTTTGGGTTGAATGTAATACAGCATCCAATAGATGGGTCTGAGTAGCATAGGAAATAAATACTTCTTTCCTATGCTCCTCAGCTCCATCTAGTTGCCATAATGCAATATTACATTACATTTGACCTGAAAAGAAAATATAATAAGAACGTTCGGTTTTGACTCGTTATTCGCACAGAACAAATGTTCACAGATTTTGGCAGGGCAGATGGTTCTGCCAATTGTTTATTAATAGCCCCCAAACTGTCAAAGCTAAAGAGTCAGCATGACAGCTTTTGCACAATGAGAAGTCAGCAATGGTAGCTTTCATGTTTCTCTAAGAAAACTTTCTGTTGAAAGTTATTGAAATATCTAAGCTGTAAGGCGAGAGGCTTATAAATCATCAGTTTATGTAGTACTGTACATAGCACTGGAGTCAGATCATGGATTCCCTTACACCAAAATCTTATAATTTGACCATGGACAAGCAGAAAGCTTGACATTGAGCCCCCCTGCACAAAACTGCATATACAAATATTTTAGAGAATACTTTTGTTGTTTCATATTAATAAGAACTGATCACATCCCACTTTATTCCAAGCTGATTCCATTACTTTTATTATCAAAATAGCCTGACATCAGGTGAATTGTAATTGTTCATCAGGTAAACCTAGATCTAATAGGTTGTCATTTTAGAGATCAGCCAAGCACTTCTGCCTTGTAGTACTAAGGGTCCCCGGTTCAAATCCTGTTCAGGACACTATCTGCAAGGAGTTTGCATGTTCTCCCTGTGTTTGTGTGTGTTTCCTCCGGGTACTCCTGATTCCCCCCGCACTCCAAAAACATGCTGGTAGGTTAATTGGCTCCTGTCTTAATTGGCCCTCTATGTATGCATGTGAGATAGGGACCTTTGATTGTAAGCTTCTTGAGGGCAGGGACTGATTTGCATGTGCAACTATGTAAAGCGCTGCATAAAGTTTCGGCGCTGTATACCTGAAAGGAATCTCTAACAAGGTTCTGATTGTTTATGATTGATCAGATCTCCCATGTTAAAACTATGCTTATTTGGGGGGTGGCAGCTAACCTAATAGCTTGCTGAAAAAGAAACCTTTTGTTTTTGATTAAGTTGTCTGCTGACACAGGACTCTCTGCATACAGAGCTGCAACAAAGAAGGTAACTCAGACATTCCTTTAGATAGGCTCACAGTTGTCCTACTGTATGTAAAGGGACAACCAAGAAGTATTTAAATCTAGTGATATATTGCTATGATATTCTTTATAGTAGACAGCAAAAAACACACTATCACTAAGCAACTAAGGATGTTTGTAAAACAAAGCAACAATAACAATTTCCCCCATAAATCTGTGAATTACATCAAACAAGACATGTCATTTAGCATTTTTGCATTCACTAATCATTAAAAACTTCAGTGTAACCCATCATAATTTAATGCTAAAGTTTCCGTAACAATTTATGCAAAATAATGTATTTTTATAATAAAGTAACATAAAAAGATAGGTATCCTTAGACTCAGGAGAACTAGTTAATTATATTTTGGATTACATTTCTGGACTTGATCTAACTGTGTGGAAGCAGTTTTGGGAAATTATAGGATATCGTATATTTCTTATTTTTCAAAATCTCAGGGCACCTGGTTGTAAGCTCCTGGAGGGCAGGGGCTGATGTGAATGAATCATATGTAAAGTGCTGCCTAAATAGATGGCACTATATAAATAACTGTAATAAAGAAATAATAAATATTTTAAAGAGCAGTTCCCTATTCAAGTGAATAGGGATGAGCCCAGGTTCGAACCAAACATGGTCTGAACCTGAACTCCTCCGAACAAGAAAGTGCCATGCCCAATCAGCTGCGGGCAGGGAATGCATGTAATCAAAGGGCTGGGATGCTTGTGCTGATGTCATTGACCTTCACTGCATCCTTCCCCTTTGCTTATATCAAGCTGCAGGTGAGTAATTCCCTGCTTGCAGCTGATTTGGTGGCATGGCATGTTTGGAAGGAGCTCCTTCTGGGTTCGGAGGAGTTCAGATTCAGATCGGGTTTGGTCTGGAACTGATTATTAAAATGCTGATGTTCTCCAACAAACACTACACCTTTAGCAGAAACTCAATTTACGTTACTTTATCTAAGTTCTCTAAAAGCCACTGTATGAATAGAGCTCAGTACATATACATACACACTGCATGGCCAAAGAAAAAGTCACTCTAATATTTTGTTGGTCCACATTTAGCTTTGATTACAGCATGCAATCACCGTGGCATCATTTCAATAAGCTTATGCAATGTCACAGCATTTATTTCCATCCAGAGCTGTATTAATTTTTCAGCAATATCTGGTATTGATGATGGGAGAGTCAGACCACTGCGTAAAGTCTTCTCCAGCACATCCCAAAGATTCTTCATGGGGTCAAGGTCCGGACTTTGCGGTGGCCAATCCATGTGTGGAAATGATATCTCATGCTCCCTGAACCACTCTTTCACAATTTGAACCCGATGAATCTTTGTATTGTCATCTTGGAATATGTCTGTGCCATCTGGAAAGAAAAAAATCCATTGATTGAAAAACCTGGCCATTCAGTATATTCAGGAAGGCAGCTGACCTCATTTTTTGGGACATAACGTTGCTGAACCTAGACATGACCAACTGAAGCAACCCCAGATCATAACACTTATTCAATGGAAGGCTCTTACCTATTTGCTAAATCCAGGTGGTGACTGTTTTTTGGCCAGGCAGTGTATTTATACACAGCTCCTCACATGTGCAATGGGTGTTTCTGCTTCCTGAAGCCTGTGCTGTATAATTTGCTGTCTCTGCTTGCTTTTTCACTGGTCAGATTCAAACCTCCAAGGCACGTTTAAATCTGATTGGTAGCTGACAGAACTGGACTACAACTGTCTCTCGGATATACCAGGTTTTCAGTGGGTGTGTTTGGGAATATCTATTCTGCATTACTAACCACTAAACAAAAGGGGTTCCCAGATCACCAGAATACCGACAATATGGAGTGTCATAGACTAGTAAAATACAGCAATTCCTGTATGAAAAGAACCCAGAGCAGATAGCTTGTGCTGCCTGTATGCTTTTCAGAGCTTCAGTTTAATGTTGACTGGAGTCAAAAACCTAAATAATAAAAGTGTATATGTGTTCACATCAGCTGAAAAACTACACATATCTACTGTGAGTACTGTTAACTCGTGCTAAGAGCTCAGTGGTTTCAAAGCAGCTCACTTTTGTCAGAGGAAACATAAAAGGTTGTGGGAGATAAATTATGCTAAGTGGTTCAGTATTCAAGAGCAAATTTTATTCTGTAGAAATTACATCATATAAGCTGGTTCTGTTCTTTGCCAGCTTGACCTCAATACGTACTTCCATTCAGAGAATAAAAAAGTAAGCTACCATTTTCTATTGTTATCCTACAGCCATACCGTTTCAAAACTCCAGACGACAATAAAAGAACAAAATTAATAGTGCAATAAAAGATAAAACAAAAAAACAGCTTTTGCCAATATTTATTTTAAATCCAGAGCTACCCCCCTCAGTACTTTTTTTCCACCTCTAGGTGTCCTCAGTCTGACATCCAGCATCATTCAACCTGTCCCAGCCAGTAAATGGACAATGGCAGAGACGCAGCACAGTGATAAGCTCATTTCTTTGTCACTCTGCTTTCTACACCCATCAACATTTTTCTTGTTAGCACATAAACTGTTTCTATCTTTGTACTGTTTCTACCTCTCACACTCCGGGATTGCTGTACAAGGTCTGCAAGATGCAGTACCCGGTCACATCCAGGTACTAACACTGTGTGCAGTTAAAAAAATAATGGAAAAAAAAATCTATACTGTGT